AAAAAAAAAAAAAAAGCTTGGGAGTTTAAGACCAGCCTAAGCAACAGCAAGACTCTGTCTCTAACAAATAATAGAACAATTCACTGGGCTTTGTGGCTTGGGCCTGTAATCCCAGCTACTTGAGAGTCTGGGGCAGAAGATTGCTTGAGCATAGGAGTTTAAGGTTGCAATGATGCTACTGCACTCTAGCTGGGGTAACAGAGTCAGGCTCTGTCTCAAAAAAAAAAAAAAAATAGTTAGGAAAGCACCTTTGGCTCAGTGGGTAGGGTGCTGGCCCCCTATACCGAGAGCGGCGGTTTGAACCTGACCCTGGCTAAATTGCAACAACAACAAAAAAATAGCAGGGTGTTGAGGAGGGTGCCTGTAGTCCCAGCTACTCAGGAAGCTGAGGCAAGAGAATCACCTAAGCCCAGGAGTTGGAGGTTGCTGAGAGCTGTGATGCCATGGCACTCTACCGAGGGTGATAAAGTGAGACTCTGTCTCTAAAAAATAAAAACTTAGAAAGGCTTATTATCATTTAATAATCCTGTTTTAACAATCCATTTTGATAACCTAACAGATTTGAATATGGACTAGATATTAGATGATATTAAGTCATTATTTTATTTATTTTTCTTATTAATTTTCTTCATTTTTATTTATTTGTTTTTTTATGAGATAGAGTCTCACTGTGTCTGTCGCCCTCGGGTAGAGTGCCATGGCTTCACAGCTTACAGTAACCTCAAACTCTTAGGCTTAAGAGATTCTCTTGCCTCAGCCACCCAAGTAGATGGGAATACAGGTGCCTGCCACAATGCCTGGCTATTTTCTTGTTGCAGTTGTCATTGTTGTTTTAGCTGGCCTGGGCCAGGCTAGAACCCACAGCCTTGGCGCATGTAGCTAGCGCCCTACCTGCTGTGCTATGGGCACCATCCGGCTTTTAATTTAATTTTATTTTTTTATAGAGATGTGGTCTTGCTCTGGCTGAGGCTGGTCTCCAACTCTTGAGCTCAGGGCAATCCACCTGCCTCACCCTCCCAGAGTGCTAGGATTACAGGGGTAAGCCACCACACCTGGGCTAAGTCATTATTTTTTTAATGTTATTTGGTGTGATAATGGTATTATGGTTATTAAAGAAAATGTGCTTAATTTTAGATTATCCTGAAATATTTAAGGATGAAATACCATGGTATATCATTTATCTAAAATATTTTAGAAAACAAAACAATAAAACATAATTGTGGCAGAATGTTAACAACTGTCAAATACAAGTGATATACAAATATACAGTTTCATATATGCACAGTTTCTCCATATATTTACAGTTTTTTTCTTTTCTTTTCTTTTTTTTTTTTTTTTGAGAAAGAGCCTCAAGCTGTTGTCCTGGGTAGAGTGCTGTGACGGCACAGCTCATATAGGGGGACCAGATTTTAACACTGATGAATCAGGACAACATGGCCTGGGGCAGGGCAGGGCCTGACAACAATGCAAACTTTGTTGTTGTTTTTTTTTTTTTTTTTGAGACAGAGCCTCAAGCTATCCCCCTGGGTAGAGTGCTGTGACAACACAGCTCACAGTAACCTCCAACTCCTGCGCTCAAGCAATTCTCCTGCCTCAGCCTCCCAAGTAGCTGGGACCACAGGCGCCTGCCACAATGCCTGGCTACTTTTTGGTTGCATCCGTCATTGTTGTTTTGGCAGGCTCAGGCTGGATTCGAACCTGCCACCTTAGGTGTATGTGGCTGAAACCTTAGCCACTTGCGCCATAGGTGCTGAGCCAACAATGCAAACTTTGCTAAGCAGTTCTCGATAATCACTTCTCAACAATTATTTGTTATTATTACAACTTAACATTATAAAATTAACAAAAATAATATAAAACTCATATTCTGGCGAAATAGCCACATGGCAGCTGAAAACCATATATTCCTTTCCTGTTCTCCCACCCCTTCGTGCATTCTTTCCAAAAATCGGGACTTTTTAAAAATGCAACAGGACACAGGACAAATTGTTAAAAAGCAAGACTGTCCTGTCAAAAGCAGGACGTCTGGTCACCCTAAGCTCATAGCAACATCCAACTCCTGGGCTTAAGCGATTCTCTTGCCTCAGCCTCCCCAGTAGCTGGGACTGCAGGTGCCCACCACAATGCCCAGCTATTTTTTTGTTGTAGTTGTCACTGTTGTTTGGCAGTTCCGGGCTGGATTCGAACCCCCTAGCTCTGGTGTATGTGGCTGATACCTTAGCTGCTTGAGCTACAGGTGCCAAGCCTATTTATAGTCTTTCATAATAAAAAAAATTTGTTTTAACCTTTGCTTTCAATTTCAGCTGGCTTTCACTCATCTTAGTTTGAAGAGGTTTTTTTTTTTTTAAATTTTTTTTCCCCTTTCTTCCTTTAGTGATTCTCTTGCCCTTTGTCTCCCAAGTAGTAGCTGGGACTACAGGTGCCCAGCTTTCTTTTTTGGTAGAGACTGGGTCTCACTCTGGCTTGTGCTGGGTCTCCAACCTCTGAGCTCAGGCAATCCACCTGCTTGGCCTCCCACAGCGCTAGAACTATAGGCGTGAGCCACCATACCTGGCCAAAAATATTTTATTAAGTATTTTAAATTTTTCTTATATATTTTTTCAAATATCAGTGTTTAAAACTATTCTTTGGTTCTTTCAAAAACCTACATCCTTGGTGGTGCCCATAGCTCAGAGGGTAGGGTGCTAGCCACATGCACCAGGGCTGCCTGGGCTGGTGGGTTCGAACCCAGCCTGGGCCTGTTAAAACAAAAAAATAGCCCAGTGCTGTGGCAGGCACCTGTAATCCCAGGTACTTGGGAGGCTGAGGTAAGAGAATTGAGCCCATGAGTTAGAGGTTGCCTTGAGCTCTGGATTCCACTGTACTCTACTGAGGGCAACAAAGTGAGACTCTGTCTCAAAAAAAAAAAAAAAATTACCTAATAAAAACAAAAAAGAAGAATATCATTGCTACACTATTTGGAGTGGCCCCAAATTGAAAACAAAGTAAATGTGAATCAATAATGTAATGCTGAGGGGCAGCGCCTGTGGCTCAAAGAGTAGGCCACAGGCCCCATATACCAGAGGTGGCGGGTTCAAA